CCCCAGTCTCCGATTTATGGCCGTGTCGGAGCTGGTGGTAAAAACCGAGGGGGTGAAAAGGGAATTCCCGCAGGGATGAGGAGCCGGGAGCTCCTCGGTGCCAAACGGGCTCAACTCACCCAAATATCCCAAATTTTAACTTTTTTAGAGCGTTATTACGAATTTAAAGCGGATTTGGGGGTGGGTTCAAACAAATATCCCAATTTTTTAAATTTTTTTTGAGCGTTATTATGAATTTAAAGAGGACTGGGGTGTGGATTCACACAAATATCCCAATTTTTTAAATTTTTTTTGAGCGTTATTATGAATTTAAAGAGGACTGGGGTGTGGATTCACACAAATATCCCAATTTTTTAAATTTTTTTGAGCGTTATTATGAATTTAAAGCGGATTTGGGGGCGGAGGGAGGGGTTTAAATCTGAATTTTCCCCCTGGAAAAAGCAGGTGTGGGTTCTTTCCCACCTCTCCTTCCCCGCCTTTATCAACCTCAGAGGCGCCGCTCGCGGTTTTTTATTTATTAATTAAAAAGTTCTGCCCTGAAGAAAATCCCTCGGACCCTCCAGCGCTCGGTGGGAGAAATCCCCAAAAATGAAAATGAAAATGAGAATGAGAATGAGAAAATAAATAAAAATAAATAAAAATGAAAATGAAAATGAAAATGAAAATGGAAATGGAAATGAAAATGAAAATGAAAATGGAAATTAAAATAAAAATAAAAATAAAATTAAAATTAAAATTAAAATTAAAATTGAAATTAAAAATAAAAATAAAAATAAAAATAAAAATAAAAATAAAAATAAAAATAAAAATAAAAATAAAAATAAAAAATCAAAATCAACCCCAAAGCTTTTCCGCTTCTGAGAGAAAAAAAGAGAGAAAAAGAGAATTAAATAAAAATAAAAAAAAGGGGGGAAAACAGCTCGGGGCGGGCGGAAAATGAGGGAAAAAAAGGGAAAAAAAATAAATAAAAGGTCTAAAAATTGGGGGTGAAGCGCGGGTCAGCGCGGCTCTGGGCGGACACGCCTCGCTGTTTAACAAAGACTGACAAACTATGAGATTAATACCAAAACTTGCGGGTTTCCCACCCCAAAATGCTCAGAAGGGCCTCCCGGAGCTGCCGGCAGCGGTTCCGCTCCCCTCCGGGGACAATGGGGGGGTCTGGAGGGGGAGGGGGAGCGAGGCAGACCCCCACCCAAAATTTAAAAAAAAAATAATATTAATAATAACAATAATAATTATAATAATAAATACCCACCAGCAGCAAAAAAAAAAAAAAAAATTTCAAAAAATCAAAAATAGGAAGGGGAAAAGGAAGAAAAAAAAGAGAGAAAGTGAGGATAAGGAAGGTTTATTTTTTGTTTTAAAACAGAATTAATCGCGCTGCAAAAAAGCGGAGATGGAGAGGGGAGGGGGCGATGAGGGGAGATTTGGGATTTTTTTTTTTTTTGGGGGGGTGGTTTTTTTTTTTTTTTAGGATTCCGCCTCCAAAATCTCTCCGAGTTTTGAGGGAGAGCCTTAAAAAAAAAAAAAATATCCCTGGGGGAATTTCTGGGAGGAAAAGGAACCTCGTCGTGCCAAGGTAGGAACCGCTGCGGGCGCCGCACCTGGGGGGACCCCGAAACCTCTTTTTTTTTGGGGTGGGGGGCGCTGGGAGACCCCCCCCAGAACCGAGAAAAATTTGGGGCTCCCCTGGGTTTAAAACAAACCCCCCAAAAAAATCCAAAATCGGGGTTGTCCCACCTCTACCTTGCCTGAGGCGGTTTGGAAATGGGGGGAAAAAATGGAATTAAACCCCAAAAAATCCCAAAATTTCTCCGTTTGGAAGTTCCGAGGGATTCCGGGATTGGAAATTTGGGGTGGGAAGGGGAGATTTGTTGGAGGTGTGGTGGTGAGAGGGGGGAAAAAAGGAGTTTTGGGTGACGCTAGGGGTGCTGCTCGGCAAAACCCGGCGTGGAGAGGAAAAATAATCGGATTTTCTTCCCTATTTTTTTTTTTTTTTTTTAAAGAGACGTGGGAAGGGGTTAAAAATCGGGAATTAAGGCCTGGATGTTTCTCGTGCTGGGGTGGGAGAAAACGGAATAAAATAAATCACTGAGGAGAAGGGGGAAGGAGGGATAAAATGTAAGAGAGAGAGAAGGAAAAGGAGGATAAAACAAACAAACAAAAAAAGAAATAAAAATCCAAGGAGCTCTGGTGGGATTGGTTCTGTTATTTTATGGCATTTCCACGTTGGAGGAGCAAGATCAGGTTTGGCTCCTCATTTTTAAGGCAGGTTTTAGAGGAAAAGGTGAATTCTGAGCGCTGCTGGCGGCCGGAGGTGGGAAATTCTGCTCGGTGCCAAAAGATTTCGTTGCTTCTGTTGGAAATTTATTTTAAATTTATTATTTTTTTTTTTAATTTATTACGTTTATTTTCGGGTTTTTATTTTAAATTGCGTCTGTGAAACGATTTGGGGTTTTTTTAATCTATTTTTGGTTTATTTTCTTAAAGCGCTGCTTGGTTATTCTGGATTTATCTGGGAGCTTTCAGCAGGCAAATCGATTTATTCACCTTAAAAAATACCTGAAAAATTCCGTGGCGCGGAGAACGGGGAGAATTCGGGGATTTTATTCTCTCATTTTATTATTTTTTTTAATTTAAATGGGAAGGGAAATGCGGGAGTCGGTGGAATCTGCTGATTATACGGACAGGAATTTTAATGTGAGAGGGGAAAAATCAGCTTTTCCCTGATGCCCTCTCGTCTGCGGCATTTAAATGCAATTAATTCGGGAGATACTTGACCTGAAAATGTTCCGCCTTTTGAAATACAGAAAAAAAAAAAAAGAGAGAGAGAGAGAAGTGGAAAAAAATAAGAAAAAAAAAAAAGAAAAGAAGCGAGGTCGCTGCTCTACTTTTAATCTCTTGGGCAACTGTAATTTTAAACGAAATCTCAACATGATGCTACCCTCATTAGTTCCGAATGAAGGTTCATTACCTAGACAGTATGAATATTTTATTGCTTTATATCCCCTTTTTTTTTTTTTTCTTTTTTTTTTTCGGAAATGAAACGCCTTTGATCTTTTTCTCGGGTTGTAAAAAAGAATTGCCTGCCATTAAAAAAAAACCTGTCGTCCCATCTGCCTTTACATTCTGGATTTCTTTTCATCTGTTTCTTCCTCTTCTTTTTATTTCTCCCTTTTTTTTTTCTTTTCCCTTTTTTCCCCTTTTTTCTTTTTCCCTTTTTCCCCTTTTTTCCCCCTTTTTCCCCCCTTTTCCCCCCTTTTTTTTCTTTTTCCTTCTTTTTTCTTTCCCCCTTTTTTTTTTCCTTTTTTCCTCATTTTTCCCCCCAATCTTTTTTTATCCTTTACCCACACGCTCGCGGCTAAACCCAAACCTGGGGTGACCTCCAAGAACGAAACCAGGATGAAATCTTTGCTCTGCCCATCAGAAAATCGTGACGAGCCTTTCAGGGCGGGGTGGGGACGGAGCTCGGGGGATTTCTCTTTTAAAAGGCGGATTTTTGCCTTCGCGTCTCTTTGCTCCCCTGCACCTCCGCCCTCATCCCTAGAACCGATGTTTTTGGGGTTTTTAACCCCAAATTAAAGTCCAAGCTGTGGAGAGAAAGGTGGGAAAAATCCCGAGTTTCCTCTCCAGCCTCGCTGCTTTAATCCATCACCTTCCCTCCTCCCAAGCGAATATTCCAATATTTCCAATCGGAAATCCACCCCCGATTTCCCAAAACCCCAAAAGTTTGCCCCAGAAGAGAATTGTGGCGGTAGGAGAAGATCTGTGACCGAGGAGGACGCATCTGTCTTCTATATGTACCCTGTAGATCCGAATTTGTGTAAAGGAAGTTGGGTCACAAATTCGTATCTAGGGGAATATGTAGTTGACACAAACACTACAAACCCAGAAGCCATAAACCCCCCCCCCCCCCCAAAAAAAAACCCAAAAAAATCCAAAAAATAATAATAAAACCCCAAAATTAAAGGGTTTAACCAGAAAACCGCGTTAGGGCTCCAAAGGAATCCTTGGGGTTTGACCTCAGCTCAACTCCGCGATAAAACTTTATCATCGCTCCGAGATAAACCCGAGGCTGCCAAGGGGGGTTTGGGGAGGGGGGAGTCGCGATATCGCCGCGATTTTGGGAGCGGGGACGGCAAATTTTTCATTTGTGAGGTCTCGACATCGATTAAAACAAAAACAACCCCAAAAAATATTAATATATATTATTATTATTATTATTATTGATGATACGAGCGCTTTCCTCCCCGCGGAGAGTTTGGGGTCTGGCTCGGGGAATTGGGGGTGGCTTTTCAAAGGCTGCCGGGTCGCGGTGGCTTTTAAAGCGTCTTTATTTCGAGAGGGGCGAGGGGAAGATGCATTAGGACTCGGTTTAATTGGCTTTTGTAATTGCTCATCAAGTCCCGGAGTTGGGGCTCGGAGGACCGGGGCTCCTTTTCCCGGCGTGGGAAAAGCGCTCCGGGCCGGCCCAAAATGGGATTTTCGGAGCTCGGGTACCCCGAATTAGCTGATGAATTTCTTATCGATCCCCGAGCAGCCCAATCCATCTCTGCCACCTCCTCCCGCATCACCCCCAGCCCCCTCTCGGGGGGGGTCGCGGCTCAGCTGCGCTGGATGGGGCGGGGGGCTCGCAGCCCCCGAGATCCCCCCACGGCCGCCACCCCCTTGGAAAAAAACCCCATTTTTTACCTCAAATCCTAATTATTCTGTGTTTTTTTGTCGCCTTTCCGATGGGGGGGGGGGGGGGGGGGGG